CGGCCCCTACACTCTGCCCCCTGGGGAGTCTGGGGTTGGAGACTGACATTTGAAATGAAAACAGACTTCCCAAGTGAGGCCCCTGCTTTGTGAAACATGACCTTCCGGCATCTTCCTGGTTTTGTCCCTTCCTCTTCTTTCCGAAAGCACCATTCCTGCCCCAGCTGGCCCTGCTCACCTCACATCTGGACGACAGCACCAGTGGGCCAGTCTGCTGCTAGTCTTCCCCTGTCCCTGTCTCCCCAGAGGCCGGCGGCAAACTTCTACCAATGTGGCTCCCATCACCTCAGGTCACTACCCTGCTCAGACCCTCTCGATCTGTTACACTGTTCACTCCCATCCCCTCAGGCTCATCAGGCAGTTTGAAAACAAAATGTTAGCCCCAGTTTGAATACAAAATGGGTTGCCACAGGCAAGGTCAAATGTTTGAAACCACCATCTGGTCCTTGGGAGAAAGATGCAACTTTCAACCCCCAGAAGGGTTATCAAGAATGGGTGATTCAACCAGGATGCAGTATAGCACCAACGAATCACACATCATTCCTCTAGTTCCTGAATGCTCTCCCCCTCCCCCCCTACACACACACTACCATGACCCAGTTCTACCTTACAAATCTGGCTAGACTGGAGAACACCCATTAGTACAGAGAAGAGCTCTCGACACATGGAATTCAGGACAGATAACCCCCTCATGAACAGTAGCGGGAGTAGCGATGAGGGGAGGGGACAGGGGGAGAAAGGGGGAAACCCATCACAAGGTTAGATATATATGTTCCCCCCAAAGGGGATGAATAACAGAAATGTGGGTAAAGGGAGACAAGTGACAGTGTAAGATATGAAATAATAATAACAATACCTAATTGATCAAGGATTCATTAGGGGAGAGCATGGGGGAGGGAGGGGAGAAAAGAGGAGCAAGGGCTCAAGTAGAAAATGTTTTGGAAAAGATGATGGAAGCATATGTATAAGTATGCTTGATACAATTGATGTACAGAATGGTATAAGAGCTGTAAGATCCCCAATAACATGACTTAAAAACAAAAGTTATAATCTCAGAAAGCCACAGGGAGTCAGTTCTATTTTGCCCTATAGAGGTCGCTCTTAGGTAGAATCGGCTGGCTGGCAATGAGCGACTCTCCTTCCTACACCCACCCGCTGGGATGCTTCTGGTTACACAGGAAGGAGTGTGCAAACTGTTTAGATTCTCCATCCTGTTTCTCAATGCATCCTCTCCCCATGTGCTCTTCCCCAGTGACAGGGCTTTCGCTTTCTCCTCTGTAAAATGGGGATATCCACAGTACACACTTCATAGGTTTGTGGACTGGATGAAAAGCATTGACAGATGTAAAAAGGTTTTGAACAGTGTCTGGCATAAAGTAAGAACCCTGTAAGTGTAAGCTATTATTCCTAATTATTGTTATTATCACTCCTTTCAGCCAACTCCTCCCTGGAAACCACTTCTGCTGGCAATAGCTAACTGATGGAGCTCTCTGTCAAACCTTCCCTGATCTGGCGGAGGTGGGTAAGTATTTGGATTTCAACGAGCTTCCCTGCATGAGACCACCTGAGGGACTGGGCTGTCTACAACGGCTCTAATTATGTCCATTAATTTCTAACCAACTAGGAGGAGAGGACGGAAGACTCTAAGTAGATTAGAAAGCAAGATCCCACCCCCCTGCCCCCCAAGATTAGTAGAATGGTGTTAGGACAACTTCTTGGTCTCTTAGGGACAGCGATCCTTTCTTGGGAATTGCTTTCCTATGGTCTTTCTAGAGCCCTACTCCCAACCCCCCAGGTTCATGTGGCCCTGTCTTCTCAGCTGTTCATTCTCTAGGTTCCTTCCGACGCTTGTCTGGGTGCACTTTGTTCTGGGTTCCCAGCTCATGAGACTCATACCTGGGGCCCCAAGCAGTGTTTGTCTGTAAAGAATCTATCTCCAGCATTTCTGTTGTACTTTTCAGATCCATGGGTGTGTTTCTGTGACGAACACACCTTCCTTTAGAAACATTGATTACGTGCTCACTCTCAACAAACACTCATGGCTCAATTACTAACTCAAAGTTCAATTACTATCCGGTGTGTGTGTGTGTGTGTGTGTGTGTGTGTGTGTGTGTGTGTTGGTGATGGGGTAGTCAGAGAATATTTTTGACCTTGTTGGGGAACCTTGTCACAAAAGCTGAGACCCACCGTTCCGTGGGCCACATGGGAAGCACAGGGGTCTCTCAGAGCTCATCTTGGGCTTTCTGTTTTCTCATCTACCAAGTGGAGATAAATGATAACCACCTCTGTTCCTCAGGACAAGAAACAGGAGGTTCTGCCTTCATTAAAGGAGCCCTGGTGGAGTAGCGATGACGTGCTGAGCTCCTACCCGCCAACTCAGCAGTTCAAAAACACCAGCGACACAGTGGGAGAAAGACAGGGCTCTCTATTCCAGTACAGATTTACAAACTCGGAAACCCACAGGGGCAGTTCTGCCCTGTCCTATGGGGTGGCTATGAGTCAGAATCAACTTGATGGAGGTGAACTTGGAGCTTGGCCTTCATGAAGAGTGAAGCCCGGGTGGCATAATGATTACACCTTGGCCTGCTAACTGCAACGTTAGCAGTTTGAGACCACCAGCCACCCCAAGGGAGAAAGATGAGGCGTTCTACTCCCATCAAGAGTTACAGGCTAGGGAACTCACAGGGGCAGTTCTACCTTTGTCTTAACACGGTCGCTATGAGTCGATATCGACTTGATGGTGGTGAGCTCTTGGTTTGGAGCCTTCCTGAGGCGCCCTGTGGTCTTGGGTGCAAGAGGGCTGTGGTGAGGCTCCGATGAGGTCAGAGAGAAGCACTTGGAAAGGTGGCAACTGCTGCTGCTGCTGTTTTTGTTTTGCTCTTGTTCTGGGTCCAGGTGTATCTCCTGAGCCCAGAAGCCCTCCCAAACCTCTGAATGTGCCCAAGACCAATCTGGTCTTTGGCTGTCCCTTCGCCCTTGGTTGGTTTTCTGTGGAACAACAACAAAGCTGCTCCGCTATGTGACTAACCGACATCCCCAGAGTTCCTCTTATCTGGTCTAGTAACCGCTGTGGTCTCAGAAGTCGCAATGTTTGTCTCTGTTTACTCCGGGTTGCCGAGGGAACCAAGTTGTTCTTTCCTCCCCGCTCTGTGACTGTGCGCTGGTTGTTTTCCCCCTTCCTGTAGGAAAGGGCTTGAGGAGCAGAGAGGTTTGGCTGCTGCTGAGCTATTTTGGGGGTTTCCTTTTTCATGTTGGTTTGGTTGGAAGTTGGGTGTGGTGGGAAGCAGAGAGAAGATGTGCTGAATAATCATAAGGCCCTTCAGCATATTTTGAAGTGTGGGGGGCTGGATTTTGAAAGAAGTGGGGGCTGAGGCGGGCTGAAGGAGCCCTGGTGGTGCAGTGGGTCATGCTAAGCACAAAGTCAGCAAGTGGAAACCACCAGCTGCTCAGTGGGAGGAAACTCAACTCCTGTAAAGAGCTTCAGTCTCGGAGCCCCCCCCCCCCCCCACCTCAGTGGGCAGTTCCACCCTGTCCTGCGGGGTTGCTAGGAATAGGAATGGACTTGATAGGAGTGGGTTTGGCTTGGGGTATGGGGGGAGAGACGGGTCCGGCTAGGGGATGGTTGCTTGGAGTCGGGCTTTGAACATGCTAGTCCACAGGGTTGCCTTGGCTCCAGCAGCACTGAAATCATCACAGTGGCACATGGAGGTCACGCATTTGGCAACATGAGCAGAGCAGGTAGGAGCTGGTGGGAAGAACTGGAATTTGAGAGGTCAGCAAGCTGGCCTTTGAAATGTTCTGAACAGATTGTGGGCGACTGGAAAAGGACAGGACATCATGTATGATCTTTATAGTGAAGGGAGCATGTCATTTTGGCTCTATTTGGGCAATGCTTGGCACAAGGGAAGGAGCCAAGACCTCTGGGGACTTTGAAGTGAGCGTGGCTCAGGGCAAAACTAAACAAATACATACGGAGTTCCGCTAAGTCTTCAGCAGGCCAAGGGGCATTAGATGTGGTGGAGAAAGTGAAGATGGCAAGGATGTCCCTCCCATGGAAGTGACTGTCTCCTTGGGGAGGAATGGGGTGGACTTACAACACAGCTCTTGGTGCAGGATGGGGCCTGCTCGAGGAGATACTTAATAACCATCAGACAAGAGAATCAGAGACTTGGGCAGAACTCCAAGAGCCAAAGACCTGTGGCTGGGGAGACATTGATTGGTGTTAGTGAACCCTAAACAGAAGCAAAGCAAAGGGGAGCTAGAGTAAGCACCCTTAGCACTGATCCTGCCCATGAAGCTGTTGGATTTTTCAAGAGAACTTTCAGTGGTGACAGATGGAGTAGCAGGGCAAGTATCTTTCCAGTGGGGGTTGGGCGGGGGAAAGAACCGAGCGTGGGTTTTGCACTATCTTAAATGGGCTCCATCCTTTCCCAGGGCCCTCTCAGCTCCTTTGAGGATGGATATCCAGTATAGAATGGAAGCTGGTCTTAGGAGAAAGCATGAAATGATTTACACATTTGGCCCTCCCTTATGTTTGTTTGGGTCTTTTCCTCGCTCTAAACCAGTATATTCTACTCCTACAGTCTGCCCTTTCCTTTTGGACTTTCTTGGGGTATCCCTCCTTCCAAATCACCCCTAACCTCCAATTGACATGACATGTGAATCATCACCCAGCCACCCATTCCAGAGTTTCTCTAGGAGAGCAGGAGCAGATTCGAGAGCGGGGATGGGTGAGTCCTGGAATCCCCTCTGGTTCTAAGAGCTGTGTGACTTGGGGGAAATGACTACAACGTACTGGATCTTGGCTTCCTTATCATCTCGGGAGAGACAAGGGCATGGACTTCATACAGGTACCAAGCGGGTGAGCATGGGAGGAATGCAGGCCTGGCAAGTTGTGGGTGCTGAATTGTGCTGGGTAGGTGTAAGTCTACAAAGAGTTGCCCCCACTACCACCGCCACCCCCATCCCATCGATGACAACCACCTCTGCCAACTGCCCAGTCCATTAAATCTCTGATACCACTTTTATTTTTTGAAAAAGAAAAAAGCAACGTTTATTGAAATTTCCAGCTACATTTGAAAAACTCCAACTCCAAATCCTGGAGACAGACATCAGGAGAAGGTGTCACAAAGTGGAAAGTGTTCACTGCCACATGACCCTCTCCCCTCCCCCCACCCAGAGACAATCTCCCTGAGTGCCTCACCCGGGCAGCAGCATGTCAATCTGTGCTGTTGGAACTTTTTCCCACCAGGATAAGGAGACAAATAAAAAAAGAAAAGAAAAGAAAAAAGGGTGGGGTGGCATTTAAATGGCACCGTGGAGCCCAAGCTAATCTTCTCTCAACCCCATTCTATGTAGTCAGCACCAGTGAATGGCGGGTTTGGCGTTTGGAAGAGGACTTCGCATGCCTCCAATGGGCAGATGGGGAAAGGGTGCAGCAACAAGGCATCCCTGGCCACATTCCGAGGCTGCGCCCCCCCCTCCCTTCCCTGCCTTTATTATATCTCTGCAGCTTATTTATTAACCTAGAGGACAAACTGGAACAACCTGCTCAATGAACACAGTCCCAATGATGAACCTTAACAGACAAGGACCATTCGGTACTCTCAAAGCTGGTTAGGCCCTTCAACACGTAGATGTATGTGTAAATGAATACATCGCTACACTATGATATGGATCTATCCCTATGGGTATATATATGCACTTATGGCTATATATATATATATATATATTAAAAAAAACCAAACAACTATGCCAATACTAACCAAACAGAACTTTGTTAAGCGATCATCCCAAAGCTGTAATCCCACACTGAGCTGTGCACGAAGCCATGCATTTATATCATATTAACCAACAGAAGGCTGATTTGGCTCAATCTCTCCCATCCATTCCCCCTGCCTGCGCAAGGCAGGGGAGAAGAGAGAGAGGTTGCTTCTGCTTCAAACACAGTGGCTTCTTCATAGGAACAGTTGTCAAGTGAAGCTGTTGAAGATGTCCATGGAAATGAAAAAATAAAACCAAACAAAACAGAAAAAACAGACCCCTTAAACTTTCTGGAGCAAACTGGCATCTCAGCTCAAACTACCTTTTAAACAAAATTTCCTCCTCCTTTGCCAGTTGCAGCTAAGTTGTCCAGGCCCTGGGAGCCCAGAAGACGCAGTAGCATTAAAGGCTCACTGACTTGGGGTGACTAAGACCCATGCAACTCAGCCTCCAGAGACCTGCTCTTTGTCAGGGGTCTGTGACTGGAGTGGACCCAGATGGCCATGTCCTTGGGACATCTCTTGGCACCGGCTGTGCTAGGTGTAAAGTTCTCCACGTGAGATGACGCTTGGGGAGCCAAAAACAAACGGGGAAGAACTAGGTAGAACAAGTGTAGTGGCTCTGCCCACCGCAAGGACAGAGCCACTTACACCGAAGAATCACCGGGAGCCTCAGATCCTTCTGGGGACTCGGGGGCCGGCTCTTCAGGGCTCAGGCGAGACTGAAACTGCTCCAGCTGCTCGGGGCTCGCCAGGGTCTTCAAGAGGGTGTTTTCGCGCTCCAGCTGGGAGTTCTTCTCCACCAGCTCGCGGATCTGCTCCTTCAAGATCTCCACCTCCTCCCTCACAGCATACATCAGATGGTTCTTCACCAGATCCTGCCGCAGAGGCAAGAACAACAAGCAAGCCGTTCGTTAGCCACCCACCCACGTTCCTCGGGCCATCCGGGCATCAGCTTGGCCCTTCAAAGTGACCCATGCTGCTTGCCAACCAGCTCAATGGTTTAATGGTCCCCCCAGAACCTTTCTCAGAGGGACCTGTCAGAGGTGGGACAGCTTGAAACAAGGTAGGTCCGCACCGCCCTCCTACCACCCCCATTCCCAGCCCCGACAACTTTCAAAGCTGGCTGCTTCAGGGGGCTTTGGAGTGAGACTATTACAGAGGGGTTTGCTTATGGCCCCATGTAAACGTCAGGTGCTGAGGTTGGTCTAGTTTTGCAGATATGCACCCAGAGAACCAAGTGGGCTTTGAGGGTTTCCTCCCCTCCTCCTGACCCAGCATTCTGAGTCTGCAGCTGTCCTGCAGCAAGGTCAGACTGGGACGCTCACCACTGGACCTGGGACCCGGGGCAGACCCCAGGCGTGGCTGCATCCTCTTTGCTTGTGTTCATAGGCTCCAGGACACAATTAAGCGGCTGCTGAGGATAAGGATTACTACTCCCGTAAAAAGTTCGCGTCTCAGAAACCCACAGGGGAAGTTCTACCCTGTCCTATAGGGGTACCCTGAGTCAGACTTGACTCGATGGCAATGAGTTTGAGTTTCGAAAGAGCCCTGGTGGTGTGGTGGGTTAGGCTTTGGGCTGCTAACTGCAAGGTCAGCAGTTCGAATCCATTAGCCATTTCTGGGACTTTCTACATCAGCAAAGAGTTACAGTCTTGGAAACTCACCGGGGCAGTTCTATCCTGTCCTAGGGGGGGTCACTATGAGTTGTCCTTGAACTCAATGACCGTGAGTTAGTTTTTGATTTATTTAAGGGACCCTGGTGATGTAGTGGGTTATGCCTTGGGCTGCTAATTACAAGGTCGGCACTTCAAAACCAATCAGTGACTCTGAGGGAGAGTGATGAGGTTATCTACTCCCTGAAAGATTCTGCTCTGTCCTGTTTTGGTGACAGAGTTGAGATTGCTTCAGGGCAGTGAGTCTGACATCTTGTTTTAAACCACTAGAAGCCCCAATTCCCTGTACCCTGTAGTCAGTCAGGCTGGCAGGGGCGGAGTTGGCCCTCCACCTGGTAGGGGGAAGGGACCAGATGGGGTGCTCTGCTTTCTGCTTCCTGTTTCCTCCCAACTCCTCTCCAGAGCCCCGCTGCTCTGCAGAGACACTGCAGTGCGCCCGCATCCAATGAGCTCTGCCTCCTGTCAACTGTGGGATGTGCAGACAACTGTGAGTTCTGAGCTCTGGCCTCTGTGGACCCAGGAGGGAGCCAGAGACTGCCGCAGAACCAGAGGGGAAGAGAGTAGAAGGGGAGAAAGAGGAGTCCAGCCGGGTCTGACTGAAAATTCCCTCAGAGAGGCCCCTCTAGGCAGATGGGATGGGAAGCAGGTTTTAGGACTTCCTCAAGCTCTTGTGCCTGCCCCACCCCCACCCCCTGCCGTCTTATCCCCCCAGCCCTGGATCTTGTCCCAAGTTACATAAGCAGTGGCTAGCCAACTCCCCATTGCCCCCTGGGGTGGAATAAACATGCAGCGAGGTCACTCACCATGGCTTGCTCAATCTTGTTGTCTATGGCCACCACGCTGGCCCCGGAAGCACTGTAAGACAAAAAGCAAAGTGCCCGGGTTACCTACTCGGCTCCACTCGGAGTTGCTGGTAGCTGTGGCCAATGGCTTCCATCTGTCCTGGTTCTTCCTTGCTTCAGCCTCCCTGGCCCAGGGTGCTGGGCAATTTGTGCCCACGACCCTTCCTGGCCCCTGCAGGAAGCAGCACCCACCCAGGCTAGCTTGCCAACGCCCAGAGCACAGACTGGAGAGTGCCCAGCTAGCAAGGACTGCTAGCCTGGCAGGGGTGATGGGTAAACAATGGGAGGCCAGCGGCTCAAGTCCCCGCAGTCCACTCACTCTGGGGAAACCTACCTGGCTCGGAAGCTAGCTAGGAATTCCTACAAAGCTCACAAGCTTCCGGCCTGGCCTCCCTGGTGGCGCCAGGCCCGTGTGGCCAGCCCCAGGCCCAGCCCTGTCCCCCACTGTTGAGCTCGCCCCCACTCCTCTGCTGAGGCTGCCAGTCCCTGCAGCTGCAGCAGCTCCTTGTCCCAGTGCAGTGGCCACAGGGACGCTCGGCGGATCCCAGCGCAAGGCGGTGACACCCCCACCCCCGCCCGCCCCGCGCCCGCGTCCCCTTCCCCCGCCCCTTCCCAGGATGCTGCACCGCGGGGAACGCGGGGACCGGCGGCACCACGCGGGCTCCCAGCTCTGCCTGGCGGCCAAGCCTCCGCTGGGCACCCAGCTCGGCTCGGAGCTAGGCCGGGGCCAGTGATTTTACCTGTTATCCAGCTTAACGGAAACCACATCTCCCCCAAGGAGTGAGGAGAAGAAGGAGATGGAGAAATTGCGCAGCTGGTAGACTGCCACCTCCATGGGGGTCTGGTACAGCTCCGTGTTCATGGTGCGGGCGGGCGGGCGGGCGGCGGGGCCGGGGCGGGCTGGGCGGCGGCGAGTGGGGCGCTGGCTGCCAAGGGGAAGGACCCAAGAGTGGCAGGCACTTCGGCTGGAGTTGAAGGGAAGTGACTCGAGGAGGGTGTCACCTAATGTCTCACAAACTGCACGACCGCCAGTCCAGCCCAGACTCAAAGATATTTCTGCTCCTGCTTCTTTATATAGGAGGAGCTGGCTGCGTCACATGGCGTCAGGGGCCATGCAAATGAGTCCTGGACCGGCCTTCAGGGCCCAGTTCCACGCATCCCCTCCCTGAACCTTGGGCTAGAACTGTAAACAGTTCAGCACTTTCTGGTGCCAACTGGCATCTCCAAAGGAGGGCTCTGGCGCTTGGTAAAAACCAAACTGGAGCTGAACCGGAGAGATTGCTGAGTTCTAGAGGAATAAAGCAGGAGCGACGCCCCAGTGGGAGGGAGGACCCATCAGTGGAGAGCAGCGCTGGGACAAGTGGCCAAAGCATCTCGGGAGGTGGCTGCCGGTATACCCTGATGGTTTGGCATGCCTCAAAAAACCCTTGACACCCCACCCCACCCCCACCCCGAGTCAGGAACCCCAGCATCTTCCCACTACTTACCCTTTCAGCCTCTCCTGCACCCCTGCTTTGTCACCTACACGATCAGCCTCCCACCCACTCAGCTGTTGCCTCACCTAGTCAGCCAGCCCACCAGTCTGGAAACCCCTGTACCCACCCACCCACCCCTCCCTCCTCCCACCTCAGGAGCTAGTCTGTGAACTCAGGTGTATGGAGGAGAGGGTGCATAGTGGGTGAGCTCGCAGACCAGAGTAGCTGGGGCCAGACCCCCCCCACACACACACACACAGCTGCTGTGGAGGAGAGGCAGGGTAGGGGCCGGTTACCAGTAACCACAAGCCACCAGCCTGCTCTCCACAGCCGACTTTGCAGGGAGAAGACACTTAACCCTATCCAGGTTCACATGGCCGGGTTTTTCTTTTTAAGATTTGTAAACTCTCACACACACAGAAAATGCCAACAAAACCTCAACGCAAGGCTATTTAGAAATCGTCCCAAGAAATCACCTGCCCTGGGATGGGGTCCGGTCACATCATCAGAGCGCGCGCACGCGCGCGCTAAAGCCCGAGGGGCAGGAAAAGATGAGTGTTGCTTAACAATCACAACATATGCCTCCATCAGAGAGACAGAATTTCGTTCTTTTAAGCCCCAAGCTTAAAAACAAAGGCGGGGCGGGGAGAGGGGGGGCGCGGGTGGTTGGAGGCAGCCTGAGATCCTTTTCTCCCGCTCCTTCCTAAGTGAGGCCACCTGGTGGATGAATGGAAAATTGCAGCCAGACAGAGCACCCTGGACAGGACAAGAGGGCAGGTGATGCAAGGAGGGGTATTATTTACACGAACAATCCAGGGCCATAAGGAGAACATTGGGTTCCACCACATATACAGTCGTTTGGACGAATATAAGGCCAGTGCCCATGAATCAATACTCCACAGGCTGTGGTCTAAAGCAATACCTCAATGCAATCATGCTATTGGAAAAGTACTGAAGCCTTCTTAGCTGCAAACAAGCTAATTATTATTTGCTTTGGGATCTTTCTTGTAACCAGGTGCCTGGCGCCGACACACGGTCCCCAGCCAAGCCCATTAGGAAGGTCTTGATTTCCTCTGTTTGTCGGGGCAGTTATCCACTGAACAGTCAATGTTTGTCACTCTGCCTCGGGGATCTCCATTGGATCTACTGGGTGGTAACGCATGCACAGCAGCCATTCTATGTGCAGAGAGCCGAGGAGCCCTGGTGGGGTAGTGGTTACACATGGGTCAGCAGTTAGAAACCACCAGTCACGGCATGTGAGAAGGATGAGGCTTTCTACTCCGGTCGAGGTGACATCTGGGAAACTTCCAGGGACAGTTCTACCCTGTCCTCTAGGGTCTCCATGAGCAGAATGGACTCGGTGTCAGTGAATTTGGGTTTGACACACGGAGCTATCCAAACCAATCTACTGCACTAGCCTCTCATGAGTCTTTTTTTCACCCCAGTGGTAGCTGAAAGAGGATCCCAATCTCAGAACATTCTGTTAACATTGAGGTCACAAGGTTTCTGACCATGGTGTTTGAGGGAAGCAGTGTGCTCTAGTCAGAACAAAGTGAAGACTATATTTTTAGGCTACCTAGATAGAAGAACTTCTTAAATTGGGAGCTTACTTGATTTTGGAATTCCCTAATATATTAATCTGCCTTCTATGACACATAAGAGCTTTCTTAATCCAGAAATCTCTCAAGTGACCTTTCATTAGCTTGTAAGTGCATCCCAAACAAATAATGACTATTTATGCCAAGATGCCAAGGGAGATGATGAAAAGAAGAGAGAGCAGTAAATTGGGTTGTCGGGTGGGGGCGTGGAGAGGAGAGACCGCTGCTGGGAAAATCGAACACAGAATAGAAGACAACTGACCCTTTTCTCTGGAGACCAGTCCATCAGGTGCTATCGAGTTGATACCAGGGGTACTCTGAGCTACATGGGGTGTTCTATGGCTGGTTTTCCCAAAGTTGACCACCTGGCCTTTCTTCCGAGCTATCTCTGGGCGGATCAACTTCCACCGTTTTGGTGAGTCCTTAATGGACTGCACAACCTGGCGACTCAATTTCAATGCTACTTATACTTCCATGGGAGCAGACGTCACGCTTGAGTCCTGGTGACAATAGTTAACAGACAAAACACCCAAGTCACCAGCTAGTTGCTAGTGAGCTGAGTCCAATTTCGGGTAACCCTATGGGTAGAACTGTGCTCCCTGGGGCTTTCTTTTAAGGCCCCTTGGATGGACTCGAACCTGCTGGGTAACTCGAACCCAGCTTAAGCAACAGGGCCCCCTGAACACTCCAAGTTCATCGTGTGATTAGGTGCCATTGAGTCTGTTCGGACTCGTGATGACCCTCTGTACAACAGAAGTCCTGCACCGTCCTCACAATGTTCTGGATGTCGAGCCCATCGTCGCAGTCACCGTCCATCTTGTCAAGGCCTTCCTCTCTTTCGCTGCCCTGCACTCTGCCCTTACCTCAGTGAACAGTAAGCCGAGTCTGAGCCCTACTCACAATGACCCACTGCCATGGTCTTCCTAGAAGGGGTTTCTGAGACTGTCCATCTTTATGGGAGCACACACCCTCGTCTTTGTCCCTTGGAGCAGGTTTGGACGGCCGACCTAGTGGCTAACAGCTCAACGCTTAACCCATAGCACTGCCAGAGCACCTCTGGATAAAAAGAGCAACCCCTGGCTCAGTCATTGTGCGGTCTGCACCATATAGCCTGCCTTGTGGATGCTGTCACCATCATTGGGACAGGTGTGAAAACAAAAACCCCCACCTGGAAAGCTTTGAAAGGTGACCTGGCCCCGTCCATGGTGGCACAGCGAATCACTCGCAGAGTCAAGGCTCCAGCCCAGGTCTCCAGACATAAGAGACCAAGCTTGGTCCTATTAAGTACTTAACAGTGGGGCAGGGGGCCGAGGGGTGGTAGGCTGAGGAAATAGAGGGATTTGCTGAGTGAATGAGTAGAGCCTGGGAAGGGTGAGCAGAGGCAGTTTTGGGGCCTCTGCTGGAGCTTCCAGGAGAGTGAGGAAGGAAAGGGGGGCCCAGGCAGGAGAAGTGCCCCTAGGGTGCCAGCAGGTTCTGTGAAGGAGGCCCACAGAAAGCAGCTGGGGGTGGGGTGGGGAGTAGGGTAGGAAGAAGGGAGGGGGTCAGGAATTCTAAGCAGTTGGACTATCCAAATCATTTCCAAAGGCAGCCAAGCACCATTGAAGAAAACGATCCCTGTCTCTCACTGCCATCAAGTAGATTCTAACTTATAGTGACAGGGCAGAAGTGCCCCCCCCCCCCATGAGTTTCCAAAGCTGTTCATTCTTGATGGAGGTAGAAAGCCTCATCTTTCTGCCGCGGAGTGGCTGGTGGTTTCAAACTGCTGACCTTGTTGTTAGCAACCCAACGTGCACCCCACCATGCCACTAGGGCTCCTTGTGGCCCTGCTGGGGAAGCGCAGGGCTGTTATTTGCAAAGTCAGAGGTTCAAAGCCACCTGCTACTCTGCAGGAGAAAGTGGGAGCTGCCACAGATTTACTTTATACCCAGTGGGGTTCAATC